ATTTGATATTATTAGATATTTTGAATATATAATAACTATATAATTATCGAACAGCTTTATAACGGCAAACTAAAATTACGCAATCTTTGTGCGCATAGACCTGTGATCTTGTTTGACATCTCATTACTTGTTCTCTGTTCTATGCAAATTTATCTGTGATATAAATCTGAGTTTCTAGGAGGGATTCTGATATCCTAAGGCCAAGCTTTTTTGTTTGCCGGACAGGCATACCGGTATGCAACCGAAGGTCGCGAAATGCTTTTATCTTCTCGGAGATGGCACTAGGTGCTCTTCCCCAATCGCTAGGGCGTCTCCCCAGATGGGTTCGAGGACCAGCATCCACCGACCGCTGGCCGATTTCTCCTTTTTGCGATCCAATCCACTATCCTTCTCTTTCGTCCACCGAAAAGTCTACGGATTCGCCGAAGGACTCGGCGTGTCCAACGAGTCCACCGACAGAGCGACACGTTCCATGTTTCAACGGGGAAAGGGAGGGTGCAAAACACCTTCCTCTCTTTCTTTCTCTTTGTCCCCTAACACATCCTTCCGCGGATACACACACCAAATTTTCACCTTTCTTCATCTTTTTTGTAGCACCGCACGCTTGTGGCGTGGTTGCAATTTACATTCCCTGGTGTTCGAGACAGGTACATGTGTGTCTTCGTTTGTAGAGGAGACTGCAACGTGTGTTCACATGCTCACTCTCGTCTGTATTTGTATGTACGAGCGTGTATTATGAATGTGTATGTGTGTGTAACTTTGGTTATATTTGTGTTCGTGCCTTATCCAGTCGAGCAAAGACGTTGAGATCCGACAAGCGATCGTTGATATAATTGGACCGGTCGGACTATGCACTGGTCAGTTTTCTGGGATTACATTCTTGAAATCTCTTTGTTTCAATTCATCACCGGAACTTTACTCTTGTGCAGCTGAACAACGAATTGATTGCGCTTCGCGGAATTTCGACGAATTCGATACGTTTTGAGAGATTATTTATTAATGATAAAAAAAAGAAAGCTTAAGCATTAACAAAGATGACATTAAATTAAAACGTACATATTATTTATATCTCAATTTACATTTTACACCAAATTACTGAATTTTGTCTACCTTGTCTCTTCTTAAAATTATGCGATTGAAAAGAAATATATTTTACAAGGTAAATTGTGTAGTTTTACATTTAGATAAGCTGCATTTAGCTTGAAATATGTGGAATATGCTATAAATATAACAAAATTAACGATAAGAATGACAGATATTAATAAGAAAGTAAATTTATTGAACTTTTTTATTCTCTTACGTTTCAAAATATCAGAATTAAGATTTTTTGAATTTGATTTCAGAAGAGAGCGGTCTTCGTATGATTTTTTATCCAATATTTTATATGGTAAGTACTTGGTGTTGTGTTGTGATTCCAAGTAGCTTTGTAAACACAACTAAGGTTACATTTTTTAATTCATGTATACATTTGTGTATATATCAAACAAATTTATGTGAACCTAAATACTTCTACAACAGGTAAGTTCTCTTTTAATAATTTTAATTTAATAATTTAAGCAACCATTATCTTTAAATTTAATAATTTAAGTAAGTTGGTATGCATAATACTTTTGATTTATTTTTGAGATTGCGATACTTAAATAGAGAAGAAAATATTAGAATTAAAATTAGAAATTATTATTATAACTTTTCATAAAAAATAATCAAGATAAAACTATCTGTTAGAAAAGTAGTCAATGGTAGCAGGTACTAAAACAGAACTGAAAACGGACTTGTGAAATCGTCGATTTGATGCATATTTATGATTATACTTTGACTACTAATTTCTAAACGAAGTTCTTGAAATTCTTAGTTATAAATTACATTGTCATATTTTTCATTAATATGAGTAATGCCGGTTGTAATAATATTTCTTTATAAATCCTTAAAAAATATTTTTTTAAATTCCTAATGTAATTTACAATTATTGAGGGAAAAGAATTTTTTAAAATTCTTTTTTAACTAATTAATTATCTCAAAAAAAATGATTACAGCGATACAACAATTACGAAACGAATAAATATGTTTTCTATTAGACAAAAGTATATGAAGTTTGCCAACGAAATAGAATGTGTAAAATGAGTTGTCCATCGTAAGAAACGTTGCAATCTAAGCTGTAAGTTTTATCCGCCCCCTCCAACCTCTTGCACCTTATTACCTTTGCGTGCGATATTCTCGGTACACCTTCTATCATGATATTCGCCCCCTGATGTAAGCCGCTCCCTCTCGCGAAAGCCGCGTCACCTCTCGCCCCAATGCGGCGTCACCATTCTCACGTAGAAATGCCACTGCGATATCCCAACCGGGACGAGTTCAGTGGTTTCCAAAAGTCGACGAGTCGACGATTCGACGGCAGCCGTATCGCGCCAATTTCTGTAATACTTGGCGAAAGCAGAGACGAGAGAAAGAGAGAGAAAGGGAGAGAAAGGAAAGGTAGGAAAAAGGGGAAGAAAAATGTGAATCAAATGTCTTTTTGTGTTTTTGACAGATATTCAATGAAATTATGTATATTTTATGGACTGAAAAAGGTAAATCTCTAAAAGGTACTTTAATATCGTATTAAATTTCAACTATCTAATAACAGCTATTTTTATTGTTATGTATAAGAAATCATAAAACAAAGTATGAAATACAATGTAAATTATTTTTCTTGAAATGAGATACTCTTGGATGTCTCGATGACAATGATTCATAATAGTATTCAGTGCAACAAAACGTCGTTTGAGATTGACTATGTAATATTAGTTTTATTTATTAAATTATATATATAACATCGATTAAATCAAATTAATATATATCAAATATATAAAACAGAAAAAATAAAAAATTGAATCACAAAAACAATAAATATGTATAACAAACAGTAAATATGAGAAGAAAATAACAAGCCTCTAAATGGAAAATTTATATGATTATATGTATAAGAAAATAAATAAGTAGAATTACTTTGTTTTGTACTATGTGGTATAAGAATACTCTATCGTTGGATAAGTAAAATTTATAGTGGACTAATGACTAAAAATATACATAAATATGATATATATATATATATATATACACAGGATTACTGAAAATCTCGCGAAAATTGATTGACTCGCGCATTAACTAACCACAAACCGCTCGTCCGTGCAGCATATTTTTGTTATAATATAGCTTATGCGTATGATCGGCAATTATCGGTAATTATTCTGCGAAGTATGTATCCAATTTCGGGAACGAAAGAGAGACAAGAGATTGGATCATTTCCGAAATAGAGAGCTTGGGAAAGCAACGCCACTGACGGCGAATATCAAAGCTTGCGGCTTTTTCTTTGACAACCATAGAAATATAAACAAATATATATTATATAGTATATATATATATATATATATATATATATATTTATTTATAAAAAACTGCTGCTTTTGAAGAAGTATAATCACATGCACATCAGATTATCAAGTAAAAAATAATAAGAAGAAAATTCTGCTAAAATAAAAAATATGCCCAATGCAATTGCAAATATAAGAAAAGTAATTTTTGGTTGTAAATGAAAGAGAAATATACTTGATAGTGTATTCTCTCTTCAAGATTTAACAGAATCACGAATATAGTCTCTGCATCTTTAAAATCCTAAAACTAATACAGGATAGGAAAGGAAGTGAATAACGTGTACAAAGCAAAAAATCGAAAAAAGTGCTATCCTGTAGGATCTAAAAGAAAAAAAAAATAATTTCGACGGAATAGAGAAGACGAAGATAGCGTAAGAACGAGATAAAAAGACTGCACTCAAACGAGAGAAAGAGATAGAAAGAAAGAGAGAGAGAGAGAGAGAGATAGAGAGAGAGAGAGAGAGAGAGAGAAAGGAAGAAAGAGAGAGAAAGATAAATAGAGAGTAACCTAGAGAAGGACAGAGAAAATACCGTGTGAGACGTTGGAACGTTGCGAAGTATAAGGCAACGTGGCGAGCACGACTGCACTGGCGATGAAGCGAACGTACGGACCGTCGGACGGACGGAGCACGCCGGGTATACGCGAGCGAGCGAGTGAGAGATGCGTGGAAGCCTAAGTGTGGGAAGAGAGTCCGTGATATCGGCGAAAAGGAAGATCGGAGCGAGAGGAGAACCGATGGAGAAAGAGACCCATTCATCTTGGCGCGCCTAGTACGGCTGCGATTGGTCCGCCTCGGGTGAGGCCGCGCCACGATTGGACCGCTCTGTTTACCAGCTGGTACCCCGGCGCGTTCGCGGCGACACACGCGAGAAGAGAGGGGGGAACAGAACGGGAGAGACAAGCGGCGCCATTATTGTAAGGGGTTACATTTAGCTCGCCGTGGGTTGTAGTACGCGGCGTTCGGGATAGGGGGCTATAGTACCTTCATGCATGGCCCATAAAGGATTCGTCGACTATCCGAGAAGTACGCAAGAAACGGCTTCTAACACCTGACAGGGGCCACGCTCTTCTCTTCTCTCTCCTCGTGCCGTCGCCGGGTTCTCATCGTCGCCCAATTTCCGAGTTGGGACTACGAGTTGGGTCATCCGGGGTGGGTCCGGTTGTGAAGAAGGACCCGCTGCTTTATCGCCGATTCTTATTCCGATATCGGATGGATTCGTAATCGGGAGGGCGCGCGATTACGAATCGAGCGGACGGTCGAAATTTTCGCACCGCGAGTATCCGCGAAGATCCGCGGCTCTCCTGACCCCGAGAGAGAGATCGAGAGGAGGGACATGTCATTTGCCATCGCGGACAATCGGTGATTCGTGGTCCAGTCGTTTCCCAGTGACCGCGTGCATCCCACCGCGTTCGGTATTGTTGTTGTGATAATGTGCTGAGTTGCATAAGTGGTACCGGTAAAAGTGGACGTTAATTGTTGATAGGGAAGGAGATAGTGGACGGGCGCGGGGAGAGCAATTAAAACTCGAGATATCTTCTTGGAACAGGCGACGAAAAAAGGTGTGCGCGGTTTCCTCGAGCGAGAAAGCGCGTTTTCTTTGATTGTCGATCGAGAGACCAGTGTATGTATTGTCATCCGTGTGATATTACGGATTATGCAATGAGGCAGCAGCCGATGGACGTGTCGTCACGGTGTCGGTGTTGAGACACTCGTCCCGGTCGTCTTCCGTCCGGGCGTGTTCTCGGCATCGGGTCCGCATCGGCACCGACAGCGGCGATATGAGTACGAAATTCATAATTGATAGTATGCTACCAGCTAAGTACCAACAATTTCATCCGCAACAGTTGTTCTCAAGCGCGAATCCAGGTACCATCCAGGCGTGTACGACGAGTCCGGCCACCGCGAGTCTAGAATCGAGTCTATCCGCGGCTGCAGTAGCGGCCGCGGCGGTCAATTACGCGCAACAGCACAATTCGCCGAGCCCGACGGGTTCGAGTCCCCAGCACTCGGGTAGCTCTGCTTCCACATCACCGGCGGCGCGTACGACGTCCGGAATGTATCCATACGTATCCGCCGCGGCGGCCCATCATCATCATCAGCAGCAGCAAGCGGTGGCGGCCGCCGCCTTCGGCGCCACGTCCAGCATGGTCCCCGGTTTCGGTTCCACGGCTGCGTCTAGCGCTGCCCTGGCCGCCGCCGCAGCCGTGGATGCCGCGACTGCCGGCGACAAGTCCTGCCGTTACACGGCCAGTTTAACCGGGAACGTGGCCCCCGCGTCGGCCGATCCTATGGTTAACTATACTTTGGGTCACCATCATCAAAACGGCGCTACACCCGGTAGCCTCGTTTCTTCCGCGTCCGCTTCCTCGGCCGTGTCCGCTGCCTCGGCCTCCATGGCGGCGGCGGCACAATTCTACCATCAGGCGGCCGCCGCATCGGCCGTCGTTGATCCTTTGACGTCCTGTCAACAACCTACCACCGGTCAACCTGGGATCTCTGACATACCTCGGTACCCGTGGATGTCGATTACCGGTGAGTTTTCCTATAGGTTGCGATTTGTTTTCTTTTATGGTCTCTTTTTATTATTATTTTTATTACTGCTGGGATTGATGTGAACGAGATGTTTTTTTTTTGCAAGATGTAATACATCGTGACGAGAATTCGCGATTTCATTGTCGTAGTTGCTTGACTATATCGTGGGTAGTGTGCGAATAAACTTTTGCAGAAGTAGACTTATGAAGAAAAAAAATTATGGCGTCGTAAAACACGTCTTAGGCACGTCTTTCTTTTAGCTGGCTAATTTGGCGTTGAATTGGTTATTTCCTGAATACCGTCGAATTATTAAATAAAACTGTAATACACTATTTACAAATTAATATTGTATAAATCAAATATACAATGGACTCTATCTAATTTATATCGAATGTTAAATGTTTCTTTATTTCGATTATATAATTAATTATTAAAACGTATCAAGAATTGATTAAAAATATATAAGTCTGTTTCTGCATCTTTATAATATATCGTATCGATTGAATATCGCTGCGATACATTTTTCTTTTTTTTTCATGTTGCATGATTGAGAAAATATGCATTAAGGATCGCAATTTGCATGAAATTTTCAGCATGATGTGACGACAAGAAATGCTAAACTGCTCTCTATCGCTATTAATCGTCTAAAATATAAAGAATGTATAATATAGTAAGTAAAAGAATATAGGAACAATTAAATGCTATCATAAAAATCATCATTAAACTATCATTTATTATCATATAATAATTTTAATATATAATTTACTTAATGCGAACTCTTTTCTTTTAGTTAAATGATATAATCTTTATGCAAAACTACATGAAATAAAAAATTACGTATAACTATAATCCTCTATTTTCATTGTTTAAATCTATTTGAGAGAGATTTAATTTATTAATCATTTCTTTAAATTACAAATTATATTGCGGAAAAATAGAAATATATTATATTAGATATTTTATTTATATGAAACTTATATATAGAGAAAAAAGGAGGAAAAAGCGGTTTCTTTTTTATAAGATTATTATTTATAATTTACAATCTTAATTAATTTCTACAAAAGTTGCAATTTTTATTATAATTATGTTGAAAGACACCTAGACAACAGTTTATTTGTGGAAACAATATACATATAAGTATATAAATATTGTATATTTTTTCTGACAAGAATGGTATGCGTTAATAATTGTATATCGTTCATATTTCTCTTCTTTACACGTGTTTTCATCGATGGCGCGTTTGATAACGCTAGATAATGACGATACCTGCTGTTTCATAATTTTGCACGCATTAGAAAACATCTTATTTTTAATATATGTACATGACATATATACATGCAAGAGTACTCCCATTTTATCGCAATGTTTTTTATGACAGATTCTTCTGCTAATTAGTCGATTTTCCCCTGATGAAAATATCGAAATACTTATAATTTTCAATGGAAAATGACATTCAACAGTTTTTGATAAACTAGCATTATATGTGTCTTTAAAAATTATATTATATATTTTATATAGTTTATATATACATATATATACACACACATACATGAGAATGATAAAAATATTCTCATATTAATTTTAATCTTCACGATTTTGGAATTACATATTAATTTAGCCATATAATTATAGTCGTAGACGTAACATTGTCGATGAAAACGTTTGGCAATTTGGAATGTAACAGGTAATTTTCAAAGAATAACAGGCGTGACTATTGAAGAATAATACTTTACGTTATAAATTTGAGTCCCAGACGCTGTTGTTACCGCACGAAACTTAAAGTTACTCCCCGATACAATACATCGTATACTGCGCCTTGTCGGAGTAGTGTCTTTGTCTGCCAAGGTGTTAGCTAGGACAAAGCGCCGACGGTATTTATCGCGTATATTTGTGGCGAACAATACAAGTCGGAGTCTGTTGTCTCATTCTTGACGCTGACGCGCGCGAAAATTGTTTACCTTCTTTTCTCTCGTTCGATATTGTTGCGACGAACAGCACGCGAAATAACTCGCAAGAGGTCGCGTGAAAAATAGGCGTCGCGACTTCGTCCGAAGCGCGCTGACAGGAAACCAGCTGACTCGCGTCGCTTCTTGCGCACGAATAGCATGCGCGCAATTTTACATTGTCGCAATTTGATTTATCGTTCCAGGTATACTCCGTTAAAAACTCCAAGTTCAATTGCAACAATTGCCGTATTTGTCACATCTAAACAACGATTGGCGGCGCCGACTTGGCTGAATTCACGTGACGAACGAATTAGCACGCGTTTCGCGTACTTTTTAATCGGCTTTAAGCTATTTAAGAGTGTCGCCGCTTAAATTTTACAACGAAACTTTTCGGAGAACGATCTTTCGTTTGTCAATACACACACACACACACACACACACTCGTGTGTTGCCGCATAATAATATAATACAAGGCGTACCCTCTCTCTCACGGAGTAAGGGAATCGTGGAATATATTGCGATTAAGTTGTAATCTTTGAATATGCAAATTATTTTCCGAAGCCCATTTCGCTATCAACACGTTATAATAATACTTGGCGTTAACGTGTTAACTTTCCGTTTCGCCAACTCGTGAGGTCTCGCGTTATGCCCACCGCGAAATTATAATCACGCTCGTGTAATTTCTAATACGCGTCGCGATAGTGCCGATTAGCAATATAATATAATAAAACTTTCTGCTTATAATTTACACAATTGCTTAACATGTGTCATTATAAAAAATAAATAACGAACAAACTGACGCATTAATTCTTGTGTTTACATTATCTAGAAAGTTAAATCGCATAAATTATTCGGCGACTATCTCCTAATTAATTTTCTCAATCATGATTTTCAGAATAATCTACTTTCTGATTATTCTTATCATTTTATTCACTCTTATGAAATCTCAATCAATATTTTTATATTTAAATTTCTTTTACATTATTTAAAGCGTCATCTTTTACTTTAGTAGCGCTTTCGCATATTTTAAACGACAACAAAACGCAATTTGATATTATTTTCACTCTAATGCGCGTATGCGTTAATTAAATATAAACAAAATTATATATAAATTACTATAGATTATACATCACCCATTAAAATATGTAAATATTGAAAACTATCGACAGTTGTATTTATGTTCAACTGTATATTTATTATAGCAACTTTCGAGAATTTTAATTTATACCTAATTTTGTTCTAAGCATTTTTTTTTTTTATTACGATGTTAGATGTAATATATCACCAAAGATTGAATTATAAAGTTCTTCATACAATTCTTTGTAATCTCATCACTGGTGGAATCCTTTGTATTCATGTTAATATGGATATTCATAATATTTATATTAATATAATATTGTGAATTTATATTAATAATAATAATAAAGTACATTAACATACACAAAATGTAAATAAAAATGTAAATGAAAATATGCTCAATATACACATTAATCTAAGATCTATTTAAATTTAAGAATTAATGTATTTTATTGTGTTGGTGGTTGATAACCATAACCTCCATACTGATTAGGTGGCGGTGGCCCTTGTGGTCCTGGTGGAGGTGGCATGTGTCCACCAGGTGGTCGTGGAGGATATTGTGGATATCCTTGACCTGCTGGCGGTGGAGGGTAACTTTGAGGAGGATACTGCGGATGCCCATAGTGTTGTCCCCCTTGTGGTGGATGTGGACTATAAATCTAGAATTTTCAATATACAAATATATATAATAAATAAGATAAATGCATTATTTAGTCATATCTGTATCATACGACACTTTTTCACATATAAATAAATACAAAATTTTCGATAATAACTTATATAATTAAGGAAAATATAATGTAATGAATCTCTCTATCTCTCTCTCATGTTGTAAAACAAATAATAAATATAGATGGTTAATTGCTTAGTTAGTTCAATGTATCTAAGTATAAATATCTTGAACAATACCTGTGGTTGCCCTCCTGGTGTTGGTGGAACATATGTTTGCGTAGTAGTGGGTCCATAAGCGGGTTGTTGTTGAGGACCTGGTGGTGGGGCGGGACCTTGCGGTGGTCCAGACGGTGGTTGAAATCCACTCGGGGCTGGACTCTGAGACGGCTGCTGTTGCGTCTGCGGAGCTGTTTGCGACTGTTGCTGAGATTGTTGTGGTGGCTGATGCGGCGATTGATGGGAAGGCGGTTGATGGGACGACTGATGTGATGGTTGATGGGGTGATTGATGCGGGGTGTGCGGTGGCTGATGTGGTGATTGATGCGGCGGCGGCGGATGCGGGGGGTGCGACGTCGGATGAGGTGTTTGATGAACAGAATATCCAGAAGGGGCCGGCGGAACCGGGGGTGCATAACTTCCAGCCTGCGATGTTGGTGGCGGACCACTACTTGGCGGATACGTCTGTGTTGAGGCAGACGGCGTGCTTGTTGGCTGACTCTGAGCATAAGTATTGCCGCCGCTCGCGGAGGAAGTACTAAATGGCGGAGATGTAGAAACGGGACCGTACTGTGTCGCCCCAGGACCTGGGCTCGGTTGGCTAACATAGTTGGGCTGAGGACCCGTATTTTGCTGAGATCCAGGTTGAGGGGGTTGAGTCGTGCTGGTTGTCGGAGGTGGTGGATAATTTTGCGGCGGAACATTATTCACATATGCCTGTGAGGATGGAGGGGGATAATTTCCAGGTTGTCCAGCGGCGTATGCATTTTGAGGTGGAGCTTGGGACGGAGGCTGCTGATAATTTGGTTGTGGACTAGGACTGCCATATTGTCCTGGTTGTTGTTGTTGTTGACTACCTGATGAGAAATTTTGCTGAGAAGCATTTGATGGTGGATAACCTTGCTGATTTGGCGGTGGAGGTCCGTATCCGGAAGGTGGCTGAGTCGTGCCCGGCGGTGGATAACCACCTGGTTGTGGACCATAGCTGTTCACTGTAGTTGGAGGACCATAATTTGGCTGCGTTGCTGGATTATATCCTTGTTGCTGAGAAGTGTTTGGTGGTCCATATTGGTTTGGTTGACCAGGAGTGTATGCAGATCCTTGCGGTCCTTGGTAATTAGAGCCAGGATTCTGACTGGCATATTGAGCAGGATAACCTTGCTGAGAAGGCTGTTGAGGATAACCTTGTGGGCCTCTATATTGTTGTGGACCTGGTGCAGTTGGAGGTCCTATATTAACAAATTAAAATATCACATGATAAAATATTACTTAATCTCAATCATTTAGCTCGAGATTATATTACAATTATATGTCAGATTTGATTAATATTTAATTACAAATCTGAAATAAATTCAAATTAGGAATATAAAGAAATTTCCGCCAATAGATTTAAACTAGAAAGAAACATACTATTTATGGAAGGTCCTTGACCAGGCATCACAGGTCCACGATAACCTTGTGCTATTGGTTGACCTTGATTAAAACTCGACATTGGCATAGTTGGCTGTGTATTTGGAGTCATTTCTCCTCCAGGACTAGCCGAAGCACCTGGACCACTTGGAAGCCCTTGTGGATTCATCATAGCATGCTGAGGACCATTCGGAATACCTTGAGGTAGCTTGGAACAAAAAATCTAATTAAATCCTACAATTGTTCGCAAAAATTTTATTTAACTTTATGATTTTATTGGATTAAACGATTTTTATTAATGAATGTTTTTTTGTTCTGAGATTTGTTGCTTACAGGTAATAAAGTTTGAAGATTCTGATTCACATCTGCAATAGATGCTAAATATACCAAGTTGCGATGTAACATTTGCTGGTATCTGAAAATTAAGTCTAATAAATCCCAAAATTAAAAAAAAAGATTGTTGATAATATTAAAAGAATGCATTTCTTTTCAATACTATAAAAAATAGCTTAGTAGCCATTATCTTGGTAAGAATTAAAATATTTAATTCCTATAGTATCTCCGGTAAACAGAAAAGTTTGTGCAGCTTTTATAATAGAGAATTGCAGCAGAAAATTGCACAAACTTTCTTTATTAATTATTAATACAATGTCGTTTCATAGACAATTGATTTAATTTCTACTAGAATTAAAAATATACAATATATCTGAAAAATATTGTACATTATCGTTTATTATTACGTACTGTACACATTCCTGTGCTTTGCCTTTATTTTGATACTCTTGAATCATTTGTATAAGTTGGCTATTCTCGTCAAGCATCTAGAGAAATGTATAAATGTATATATATACATAATTACAATTCTTAAAACAGTAAAATATATATATGTATCTCATATTTTACTTTTTTAATTATATATAAGTGATATATTTATTAGTTTATTTATAATAACTGCTTTTTTTTTCAAAGCTATAGTCAATTCCTTTACCTTCTGTATTTGAGCAGGATTTGGAGGGGGCCTACCACGTTGCGCAAAGGTCACAGACATTTTTTAAACAATTAACGATTCGTCTGTTCAATAAAAAAGATCGACACAATTCAAGAGATTTACTCTCGACGAAGATTTATCTAAAAATGTTTCACGTGCATGATACGTCCATTTTCGTCATATTTTCGGAGCATGTTCTTGCGATGACAACTTATCCAAAAGTGTAGAGATTATTTACACAGGATTACTGAAAATCTCGCGAAAATTGATTGACTCGCGCATTAACTAACCACAAACCGCTCGTCCGTGCAGCATATTTTTGTTATAATATAGCTTATGCGTATGATCGGCAATTATCGGTAATTATTCTGCGAAGTATGTATCCAATTTCGGGAACGAAAGAGAGACAAGAGATTGGATCATTTCCGAAATAGAGAGCTTGGGAAAGCAACGCCACTGACGGCGAATATCAAAGCTTGCGGCTTTTTCTTTGACAACCATAGAAATATAAACAAATATATATTATATAGTAAATTTTAATAAATAAATATATATATATATTTATTTATAAAAAACTGCTGCTTTTGAAGAAGTATAATCACATGCACATCAGATTATCAAGTAAAAAATAATAAGAAGAAAATTCTGCTAAAATAAAAAATATGCCCAATGCAATTGCAAATATAAGAAAAGTAATTTTTGGTTGTAAATGAAAGAGAAATATACTTGATAGTGTATTCTCTCTTCAAGATTTAACAGAATCACGAATATAGTCTCTGCATCTTTAAAATCCTAAAACTAATACAGGATAGGAAAGGAAGTGAATAACGTGTACAAAGCAAAAAATCGAAAAAAGTGCTATCCTGTAGGATCTAAAAGAAAAAAAAAATAATTTCGACGGAATAGAGAAGACGAAGATAGCGTAAGAACGAGATAAAAAGACTGCACTCAAACGAGAGAAAGAGATAGAAAGAAAGAGAGAGAGAGAGAGAGAGATAGAGAGAGAGAGAGAGAGAGAGAGAGAAAGGAAGAAAGAGAGAGAAAGATAAATAGAGAGTAACCTAGAGAAGGACAGAGAAAATACCGTGTGAGACGTTGGAACGTTGCGAAGTATAAGGCAACGTGGCGAGCACGACTGCACTGGCGATGAAGCGAACGTACGGACCGTCGGACGGACGGAGCACGCCGGGTATACGCGAGCGAGCGAGTGAGAGATGCGTGGAAGCCTAAGTGTGGGAAGAGAGTCCGTGATATCGGCGAAAAGGAAGATCGGAGCGAGAGGAGAACCGATGGAGAAAGAGACCCATTCATCTTGGCGCGCCTAGTACGGCTGCGATTGGTCCGCCTCGGGTGAGGCCGCGCCACGATTGGACCGCTCTGTTTACCAGCTGGTACCCCGGCGCGTTCGCGGCGACACACGCGAGAAGAGAGGGGGGAACAGAACGGGAGAGACAAGCGGCGCCATTATTGTAAGGGGTTACATTTAGCTCGCCGTGGGTTGTAGTACGCGGCGTTCGGGATAGGGGGCTATAGTACCTTCATGCATGGCCCATAAAGGATTCGTCGACTATCCGAGAAGTACGCAAGAAACGGCTTCTAACACCTGACAGGGGCCACGCTCTTCTCTTCTCTCTCCTCGTGCCGTCGCCGGGTTCTCATCGTCGCCCAATTTCCGAGTTGGGACTACGAGTTGGGTCATCCGGGGTGGGTCCGGTTGTGAAGAAGGACCCGCTGCTTTATCGCCGATTCTTATTCCGATATCGGATGGATTCGTAATCGGGAGGGCGCGCGATTACGAATCGAGCGGAGGGTCGAAATTTTCGCACCGCGAGTATCCGCGAAGATCCGCGGCTCTCCTGACCCCGAGAGAGAGATCGAGAGGAGGGACATGTCATTTGCCATCGCGGACGATCGGTGATTCGTGGTCCAGTCGTTTCCCAGTGACCGCGTGCATCCCACCGCGTTCGGTATTGTTGTTGTGATAATGTGCTGAGTTGCATAAGTGGTACCGGTAAAAGTGGACGTTAATTGTTGATAGGGAAGGAGATAGTGGACGGGCGCGGGGAGAGCAATTAAAACTCGAGATATCTTCTTGGAACAGGCGACGAAAAAAGGTGTGCGCGGTTCCCTCGAGCGAGAAAGCGCGTTTTCTTTGATTGTCGATCGAGAGACCAGTGTATGTATTGTCATCCGTGTGATATTACGGATTATGCAATGAGGCAGCAGCCGATGGACGTGTCGTCACGGTGTCGGTGTTGAGACACTCGTCCCGGTCGTCTTCCGTCCGGGCGTGTTCTCGGCATCGGGTCCGCATCGGCACCGACAGCGGCGATATGAGTACGAAATTCATAATTGATAGTATGCTACCAGCTAAGTACCAACAATTTCATCCGCAACAGTTGTTCTCAAGCGCGAATCCAGGTACCATCCAGGCGTGTACGACGAGTCCGGCCACCGCGAGTCTAGAATCGAGTCTATCCGCGGCTGCAGTAGCGGCCGCGGCGGTCAATTACGCGCAACAGCACAATTCGCCGAGCCCGACGGGTTCGAGTCCCCAGCACTCGGGTAGCTCTGCTTCCACATCACCGGCGGCGCGTACGACGTCCGGAATGTATCCATACGTATCCGCCGCGGCGGCCCATCATCATCATCAGCAGCAGCAAGCGGTGGCGGCCGCCGCCTTCGGCGCCACGTCCAGCATGGTCCCCGGTTTCGGTTCCACGGCTGCGTCTAGCGCTGCCCTGGCCGCCGCCGCAGCCGTGGATGCCGCGACTGCCGGCGACAAGTCCTGCCGTTACACGGCCAGTTTAACCGGGAACGTGGCCCCCGCGTCGGCCGATCCTATGGTTAACTATACTTTGGGTCACCATCATCAAAACGGCGCTACACCCGGTAGCCTCGTTTCTTCCGCGTCCGCTTCCTCGGCCGTGTCCGCTGCCTCGGCCTCCATGGCGGCGGCGGCACAATTCTACCATCAGGCGGCCGCCGCATCGGCCGTCGTTGATCCTTTGACGTCCTGTCAACAACCTACCACCGGTCAACCTGGGATCTCTGACATACCTCGGTACCCGTGGATGTCGATTACCGGTGAGTTTTCCTATAGGTTGCGATTTGTTTTCTTTTATGGTCTCTTTTTATTATTATTTTTATTACTGCTGGGATTGATGTGAACGAGATGTTTTTTTTTTGCAAGATGTAATACATCGTGACGAGAATTCGCGATTTCATTGTCGTAGTTGCTTGACTATATCGTGGGTAGTGTGCGAATAAACTTTTGCAGAAGTAGACTTATGAAGAAAAAAAATTATGGCGTCGTAAAACACGTCTTAGGCACGTCTTTCTTTTAGCTGGCTAATTTGGCGTTGAATTGGTTATTTCCTGAATACCGTCGAATTATTAAATAAAACTGTAATACACTATTTACAAATTAATATTGTATAAATCAAATATACAATGGACTCTATCTAATTTATATCGAATGTTAAATGTTTCTTTATTTCGATTATATAATTAATTATTAAAACGTATCAAGAATTGATTAAAAATATATAAGTCTGTTTCTGCATCTTTATAATATATCGTATCGATTGAATATCGCTGCGATACATTTTTCTTTTTTTTTCATGTTGCATGATTGAGAAAATATGCATTAAGGATCGCAATTTGCATGAAATTTTCAGCATGATGTGACGACAAGAAATGCTAAACTGCTCTCTATCGCTATTAATCGTCTAAAATATAAAGAATGTATAATATAGTAAGTAAAAGAATATAGGAACAATTAAATGCTATCATAAAAATCATCATTAAACTATCATTTATTATCATATAATAATTTTAATATATAATTTACTTAATGCGAACTCTTTTCTTTTAGTTAAATGATATAATCTTTATGCAAAACTACATGAAATAAAAAATTACGTATAACTATAATCCTCTATTTTCATTGTTTAAATCTATTTGAGAGAGATTTAATTTATTAATCATTTCTTTAAATTACAAATTGCGGAAAAATAGAAATATATTATATTAGATATTTTATTTATATGAAACTTATATATAGAGAAAAAAGGAGGAAAAAGCGGTTTCTTTTTTATAAGATTATTATTTATAATTTACAATCTTAATTAATTTCTACAAAAGTTGCAATTTTTATTATAATTATGTTGAAAGACACCTAGACAACAGTTTATTTGTGGAAACAATATACATATAAGTATATAAATATTGTATATTTTTTCTGACAAGAATGGTATGCGTTAATAATTGTATATCGTTCATATTTCTCTTCTTTACACGTGTTTTCATCGATGGCGCGTTTGATAACGCTAGATAATGACGATACCTGCTGTTTCATAATTTTGCACGCATTAGAAAACATCTTATTTTTAATATATGTACATGACATATATACATGCAAGAGTACTCCCATTTTATCGCAATGTTTTTTATGACAGATTCTTCTGCTAATTAGTCGATTTTCCCCTGATGAAAATATCGAAACACTTATAATTTTCAATGGAAAATGACATTCAACAGTTTTTGATAAACTAGCATTATATGTGTCTTTAAAAATTATATTATATATTTTATATAGTTTATATATACATATATATACACACACATACATGAGAATGATAAAAATATTCTCATATTAATTTTAATCTTCACGATTTTGGAATTACATATTAATTTAGCCATATAATTATAGTCGTAGACGTAACATTGTCGATGAAAACGTTTGGCAATTTGGAATGTAACAGGTAATTTTCAAAGAATAACAGGCGTGACTATTGAAGAATAATACTTTACGTTATAAATTTGAGTCCCAGACGCTGTTGTTACCGCACGAAACTTAAAGTTACTCCCCGATACAATACATCGTATACTGCGCCTTGTCGGAGTAGTGTCTTTGTCTGCCAAGGTGTTAGCTAGGACAAAGCGCCGACGGTATTTATCGCGTATATTTGTGGCGAACAATACAAGTCGGAGTCTGTTGTCTCATTCTTGACGCTGACGCGCGCGAAAATTGTTTACCTTCTTTTCTCTCGTTCGATATTGTTGCGACGAACAGCACGCGAAATAACTCGCAAGAGGTCGCGTGAAAAATAGGCGTCGCGACTTCGTCCGAAGCGCGCTGACAGGAAACCAGCTGACTCGCGTCGCTTCTTGCGCACGAATAGCATGCGCGCAATTTTACATTGTCGCAATTTGATTTATCGTTCCAGGTATACTCCGTTAAAAACTCCAAGTTCAATTGCAACAATTGCCGTATTTGTCACATCTAAACAACGATTGGCGGCGCCGACTTGGCTGAATTCACGTGACGAACGAATTAGCACGCGTTTCGCGTACTTTTTAATCGGCTTTAAGCTATTTAAGAGTGTCGCCGCTTAAATTTTACAACGAAACTTTTCGGAGAACGATCTTTCGTTTGTCAATACACACACACACACACACACACACTCGTGTGTTGCCGCATAATAATATAATACAAGGCGTACCCTCTCTCTCACGGAGTAAGGGAATCGTGGAATATATTGCGATTAAGTTGTAATCTTTGAATATGCAAATTATTTTCCGAAGCCCATTTCGCTATCAACACGTTATAATAATACTTGGCGTTAACGTGTTAACTTTCCGTTTCGCCAACTCGTGAGGTCTCGCGTTATGCCCACCGCGAAATTATAATCACGCTCGTGTAATTTCTAATACGCGTCGCGATAGTGCCGATTAGCAATATAATATAATAAAACTTTCTGCTTATAATTTACACAATTGCTTAACATGTGTCATTATAAAAAATAAATAACGAACAAACTGACGCATTAATTCTTGTGTTTACATTATCTAGAAAGTTAAATCGCATAAGTTATTCGGCGACTATCTCCTAATTAATTTTCTCAATCATGATTTTCAGAATAATCTACTTTCTGATTATTCTTATCATTTTATTCACTCTTATGAAATCTCAATCAATATTTTTATATTTAAATTTCTTTTACATTATTTAAAGCGTCATCTTTTACTTTAGTAGCGCTTTCGCATATTTTAAACGACAACAAAACGCAATTTGATATTATTTTCACTCTAATGCGCGTATGCGTTAATACTTTTATAATTTTATTTACTTCTGCTTTTATATTTGATATACTTCTTTGAAGAATTTACGGTTTTTTCGAGCACTTTTACTGTCATATGTCTATTCATGCGTTAATAAGTTTCTTATCTATTTTATGAGTATATAAGAATAGCTTTACGGCTTAGGGAGAGCGAGGTGAATGATTCAGCTGACAGTGTAGCGTGACGATTTTAGTTTGCGAGACCTCGTAGTGGAATCAGAATCACGTTGGCAATCTATAAGTATACATTTTCTCTTCATAGCGCACAATCAATATTATTTCAGTTTTAATTTAATCGTAAACGAATGGACAATCGCGAGTGTAAGAACATTGCATTTTTATGTATCAGTTATTCTAATGTAGAGCAGTAATACAATAACAAACAAGTTTTTAATAGATTATTGAATTGATGCATATTTATGTATATAAGATATGCAGATATCGATTGTGTGTTATTTTGAGTCTAATTAATCTAAATATAAATATATATGTCAACATTTAACACATATTTTTAAAATTATTCCGATCTTTTATTGTGGGAGATCAAAGACTATTTTGAAGTTTTTAATATCTCTTAGGTTACTAATGACAATCTAATTTTATCTCTTAATTATTAAATCCACTCGTTTGCCATTGCCGTTTAATGTTTTCGATTAACTAAATTAGACTTATATAGTTTCTTCTTTTCTATTTCTTGAACTGTATCTTAATCTTATGTATGTTTATGTAATGTTTAATATTAATGCATGTGTGTTATGCGTTTAAACCATAATGTATCTTGTGAATGTTATATTGAGAATGTTATGCTTAAAAAATCTTGCCTATTGCGTTATCTTAAGTGCATTTGTAAAGTTTTGTAGCTTTAAACTACGCATGAGAGGCTGACTTTTGAAGTTGTATATTACCATCTTATTTGATATCATGAGCAAAAAGGCAGAAGACACTTCTCGACTGATTTGATTTTCTTTGGATGTTTTAATAAACCTTTTTGTTTTTCAGATTGGATGAGTCCATTTGATAGAGTTGTGTGCGGTGAGTATTGCTATTAATTTTAGGATGCTTTTATATCATCATTACATTATACTATAATACTATCATTATTTGCGCACATATTCGTTACATTATATATATTCCATATTTCTGCGAATATACAAAATATAACAAATTTATATCTGAAACTGTTTGTAAATCCAAAAATTTTAATTGTGGGAAATGATATTAATTATTCGGGAAGTCATAAAAATAATAGTTTTTTAAAACTTCAATATAATTAATACTATTTATATTAATTATGAAGCATAGATAATCCTCTGAAGGAAACTACATCTATTTCGAGAAATATTACATAAAAGTATTTTGATCCTGTGAATTGTTTTTAGTATTGATAAATAGTATTGATAACCCTTTCATATATGTTATGTGTAGAGTGTTAATATAATATGAAAATCTCTTTCTATTAATTTATATCCACTATATATTATATTATATCCACTTTTTGTTCCATAAAGAACGTAATGAGCTCTCGCAAAAATATAAGTGTTTAATATAAGATCTATATGTCTCAGACAAGGCTTAGACTTCAAGAGAAAAATGGTTCTTTCCATATACGAGGTTACGGCCCCACGTGCTAGCCACATTTCTTTCTTTCTTCAGTTCTTTCTTAAGTTTAATGTATAGACAAAATATACTATGGCCATTTCTTAGACTGAAAGAGAGCAATAATCTTTTCTATTCTTAAGTTTTCTTCTAACAACACTGACCTTACCCGGACATTACGTTTTCATGTACAAAATTAAAAGTTACAAGTAACATTTCCAAAAAACAATTTGTTCCTACATTATCGAGCTGTCGATCAGTTATTCGGGTTTAACAACCTGGTCATAAACCTACGACAAAAAGTGATATAGTTCCAAGTGTGCCGAGATGCCAAGGTAATTGTTCGGGTCGTTTACGTGGATCGTGCTACTGGGCTCTACACGCGCCAAGTCCTTACCCTATTCATTTATGTTAGTTGCGCATGCAAAAAGGACATGTATATGGGCAACTACACCTGTCGTCACCGTGATAATGTTAGTCGCGAATAATCTCCGTGACTATCTTTTATACGGCCACTTACGAGTCCACAATAGCGCAGTAAATACCGATTAGATAAAATTAAAACTTCAGTCGTTGGCTTTTATCGTGATGGTTTGTTTACATCAGGCGTATCATAATTTCAAATAGGCATTGCCGATCACTATACGAAGTTAACAACTGTAGAGGGAATGCTTAGCCCGGTAGGAAATTACATTCCGATATATTCGAACGGGATATATAATATCTGTCTCCATATACATTCAATTGGCCGATGAATGAGAGAATACGCATGTATTCGCCATTATACATCCTACTATTCCTTATTAATCTTTCGTGGATCTGCATTTGTATATTTCAAGTTATACCACTAACAAGATGAACCGTTATTATTTTATATTAGCATTAATTAATTAATTATTTATATATTTTTGGATTAAT